ACTGGCTTTTTTTTTTTTTTTTTTAACCTAGCATAATGTTTTCTGGATCATCCAAGGGATAGCATGTCATTCCTTTTTATTGCCAAATAATATTCCATTGTGAATACACCACATTTTATTTATCCATTCATCGGTATATGTATGAGGGTTTCTACCTTTTAGCTAGTATAAATAATGATGCCATGAATGTTTGTTGACAAGTGTTTGGATGGATATGTATTTTCAGTTCTCTTGGAACTGGAGGAGTGGAATTGCCCAGTCGTCATAAGGTAACTCTATGTTTAACATTTTAAGGAACTGCCAAACTGTTTTGCAAGTGTCTGTGCCATTTTACCAGCGATGTATCAGGATTCCAATTTCTCTACATTCTCATAAACAGTTGTTATATTTTACATTATAGTCATTATTATACCATTATTATGGGTGCAAAGTAGTATCTCATTGTGGTTTTGATTTGCATTACCTGAATGGCTAATGATTTTTAATATCTCTCCATGTGCTCCTTAGCCATTTGATATCTTCTTTGGAGAAATGTATATTCAAATCCTTTGCCCATTTTTCCACTGAATTATTTGTCTTTTATTGAATGATAAATGCTCTTTATATATTCTGGATTCCAGTTTCTTATCAGATGTATGATTTGTAAATATTTTCTCCCATTCTGTGTGTTGTTTTCATTTTCTTGACAGCTTTGTTTGTAGCACAAGAGTTTTAACTTTTAGATACAGTTCAGTTCAATGTATCTATTTTTTCTTTTGTCACTTGTGCTTTTGGTTTTGAATCTTAAGAAAACATTGCCGGGCGCGGTGGCTCAAGCCTGTAATCCCAGCACTTTGGGAGGCCGAGACGGGCGGATCACGAGGTCAGGAGTTCGAGACCATCCTGGCTAACACGGTGAAACCCCGTCTCTACTAAAAAATACAAAAAACTAGCCGGGCGAGGTGGCGGGCGCCTGTAGTCCCGGCTACTCAGGAGGCTGAGGCAGGAGAATGGCGTAAAAACCCGGGAGGCAGAGCTTGCAGTGAGCTGAGATCCGGCCACTGCACTCCAGCCTGGGCGACACAGCGCGACTCCATCTCAAAAAAAAAAAAAAGAAAAAAGAAAAAAAAAAAAAAGAAAACATTATCTGACCTCAGGTCACAAAGATTGACTACTGTATGTTCTTCAAAGAGTTTGATCGTTTTTGGCTCTTACGTTTAGGTTTATAATCTATTTTGAGTTAAACGTGTGTGGTATGAGGCAGGGTTCCAAATTCATTCTTTTCCATGTTGATTCCAGTTGTCCCAACACTATTTGTTGAAACTATTCTTTCTCACTTTGAGTTGTCTTGTCACCTTTGTCAAAAATCAATAAACATAATTAAATGTAAGGGTTAATTTTGGGAATCTCAATTCTATTCTATTGGTCTATGTGTTTTTCTCCTTATACCAGTACTATAATACATTGTCTCGATTACTGTAGCTGTGTTACAATTTTTGAGTTTGGGAAGTGAGAATCCTCCAATTTTTTTTTTTTTTAAGATTTTTTGGATATTCTGGGTCTTTAGCATTTCCTAATGAACTTTAGGATCATCTTGTCAACTTCTACAAAAAAAGACAACTGGAATTTTGACAGGCATTGTGTTGAATCTGGAGATAAATTTAAAGAGTATTGCCAGCCGGGCAGAGTGGCTCACGCCTGTAATCCCAGCACTTTGTGAGTCCGAGGTAGGTGGATCACTTGAGGTCAGAAGTTTGAGACTCGCCTGGCCAACATGGTGAAACCTCGTGTCTACTGAAAATACAAATATTAGCCGGGCATGGTGGCACGTGCCTGTAGTCCCAGCTAATTTGGAGGCTGAGGCAGGCGAAACAGTTGAGCCTGGGAGGTGGTGGTTGCAGTGAGCCAAGATTGCACCACTGCACTCTAACCTGGGCAAGAGAGCAAGACTCCGTCTCAAAAAAAAAGAGTATTGCCATCTTAGCATCTTGTGATCCATGAATATGAATTGTTTTTCCATTTATTTGACTTATTTCAACAATGTTTTGTAGTTTTCAGTATACAAGTCTTACACTCATTTTATTAACTTTGTTCCAAAGCATTTTATTCTTTTCGATGCTATTGAAAATTGAATTGTTTTCTTAATTTTTGGAATGTTCATTGCTAGTGTGTAGAAACACAACTGATTTTTGTATGGTCTTGTATCCTGTAACCTTACTGAACTCATAGTTAGTTCCAATGCCTCTTTTTTTGGTGGATTCTTTAAGATTTTTTATGTACAAGGTCATGGTATATGGAAATAGAGGTATTTTGTTTCTTTTTTCCAATCTGGGTGCCTTTATTTCTTTTTCTTGCCTGATTCTATGTGCCAGTCCATGAGAACAAACACGCTTATCTTATGCCTGAACTTAGAAGAAAAGCTTTTAGTCTTTCTGAAATATTATCATGTTATTAAATATTATATCAGCTGTGGGTTTTTAATAGATATTCTTTATCAGATTGATGAAGTTCCCTTCCCTTCCTACTTTGTTGGATGGTTAGTTTTGTTTTTTTTTTTAATTATTACTGCATTTTTAAATCATGAATGGGTTTTAGCTTTTTTTTTTCCCTGAAATCTTTGGTTTTTGTCTTTTATTCCATTGATATAGTATATTACATAAATTTATTTTCTTTTTTTTTTTTTTTTTTTTTTTTTTTTTTGAGACGGAGTCTCGCTGTGCCGCCCAGGCTGGAGTGCAGTGGCCGGATCTCAGCTCACTGCAAGCTCCACCTCCCGGGTTCACGCCATTCTCCTGCCTCAGCCTCCCGAGTAGTTGGGACTACAGGTGCCCGCCACCGCGCCCGGCTAGTTTTTTGTATTTTTTAGTAGAGACGGGGTTTCACCGTGTTAGCCAGGATGGTCTCGATCTCCTGACCTCGTGATCCGCCCGTCTCGGCCTCCCAAAGTGCTGGGATTACAGGCTTGAGCCACCGCGCCCGGCCACATAAATTAATTTTCAAACGTTAAGCCAACATTGAATTTCTGTGATAAATCCCATTTGGTTATGGTGTATACTTCTTTTCATGTGTGGCTGGATTCAGTTTTCTAGCTTCCCCCCCCCCCCCAGAAATTTCGTCTCTATATTCGCCTCTATATTCTTTGGGGATATTAGTCTATAGATTTCTCGTAATGTCACTGTCTGGTTTTGATAATATTAGCCTCATATAACAAGTTAGGAAGTGCTCTCGTTTTTGGAAAAATTGAGAAGAACTGGTCTTAGTTCTTTTAATGTTTGGTAGATTTCACTAGTGAAGTGAAGTGAAGTGATCTGGTCCCAGTCTTTTTTTTTTTTTTTTTTTGCAAGAAGTTTTAAAATGACCAACTCAATCTCTTTGCTTCATACAGGTCTATTCAGATTTTCTATTTCTTTTTGAGCCAGTTTTGGTAACATTTGTCTTTATAGAAATTTGCCCAGTTTCATCTAGGTTATCTAACTTTTTGGCATACAATAGTGTTTCCATATAACCCTTTTTATTTCCTTGAGGTCATTAGAGATGTTCTCTCTTTTCTTCACATTTGAGTCTTCTCTCCTTTTTTCCTGATCAATCTTGTTAAAGGTTTTCCAAATTTTGTGGATCTTTTCAAAGAACCACCTTTTAATTTTGTTGCTGTTATCTGTTTTTCTATTCTCTGTTTCATTTATTTCTGTTCTTTATTCTTTCCTTCTACTTGTTTTGCATTTAGTTTGCTTTTCTTCTTCAAGCATCTTTTTTTTTTTTTTTTTTTTTTTTTTGAGACGGAGTCTCGCTGTGTCACCCAGGCTGGAGTGCAGTGGCGCGATCTCGGCTCACTGCAGGCTCCGCCTCCCAGGTTCACGCCATTCTCCTGCCTCAGCCTCCGAGTAGCTGGGACTACAGGCGCCCGCCACCACGCCCAGCTAGTTTTTTTTTTTTTTTTTTGTATTTTTAGTAGAGACGGGGTTTCACCGTGTTAGCCAGGATGGTCTCGATCTCCTGACCTCGTGATCCACCCGCCTCGGCCTCCCAAAGTGCTGGGATTACAGGCTTGAGCCACCGCGCCCGGCCTTCCTTCAAGCATCTTAAGGTCAAGTTTAGATTATTGATTTGAGATCTTTCTTCTTTTTAATATAGGCATTCACAGCTCTAAATTTCCCCCTGTGCACTTTTTTAGCTAGATCCCATAGGTTTTGGTATGTTGTGGTTTTAATTTGTATCTATCTCAAAATATTTTCTAGTTTCCCTTGTGCTTTCTTCTTTGATTCAGTTATTTAGGAGTGTGTGGTTTAACTGATACCATCTTGTGTATTTCCTTACACCAATACAGCTTGGTTCCACCTGGCTCCTTTGTGCTCTTATTGTCAAATATATTACATTTCTGTATGTTATAGGACCAACACCGCAATTAGATACCTATTGTTTTGTGCAACTGCTTTTTTAAATCAGTCAAGAGAAGAAAAATGAAGACATGTAATTATGCAGCTTTTATCGTTACCTACATAATTTCCTTTATTGAAGCTCTTTGATGTCCCTGCTCATATATTTCCCCTTCTTGGCTCTGCATAGGTCACTGGTTAGTCAAAGGTTGTGCTTAAGCCCCTTAGTTAGATTTTCATCGTTTACTGTTGGATGTGTGTGTAGTTCAGAGGTTGCTATCACACATTGGGGAATTTACATTTTGTTTGGCTCTACATTCAGCCAGGGACTAGTAACTCGGAGTCCCTCTTTAATCACTCCTGAGATGTCTCCGCCTCAAACATGCACACAGTCTTCCAGACAGTCAGGAATGAGAGCAATTTTAGTTTTAAGCCTGGCTTCCTAGACCTCACCCCTGGGTTGGAGTAGCTTATTTTTCTGCCAGTGTTTGCTCAGAGGTTGTGTTCACACCTCTTGTGCCAGTGAGACTGTAAACGACTACCCCATTTTCCTAAAACTTATCTTTATCTTTTCTCTTCTCCCTGCGTGTTCACCTCTTACTTAGCTCTTTAGGAATGCAATTCTAACCTTTACCTTCTCTCCACCAGGCACTCCCTGCACTGAGAGGTTATCTAACTACATGTTTCCTTAGAAATTCTAAGGACCAAATATTGAACCAAACCAGGCACTCTCTGGGATTCTCCCCCACCAGGAAATTACCTCAAGATGACAGTCACTTTACAACCCAGCTCTGCCCTCGATGGTGGCAGCCAGCAAGTCGCGAGTCACGCAGACCCCGCGCCTCCTCCTCTCCATAGCACTCACTCCAAGTCCCCCTTAAAGGCTCTGCTTTCTGCCATGAAAGCTGAAGCGGTTCCCTTAAGGCAGAAGCCTGTACCTCTTCCCCTCAGCTGAGCTCTGGAATAAAAGTCGCCTTCTTTCTATCAGCCCTCACTCTTGGATGAACTGGACTGTGCAGGCAATGAGCCGCTGGACTTGCATTTGGTTACAAGCCTTCTGCCTTGTGTTGATTGGTCTGTGCACAGCCTGGGGAAAGCTTTCAGGTCTGCCCAACATCCTGCTCTGACTGGCCTTGAGTGGGTGAAACCTAGTGCACGTGCATAGCCTCCCCAACTCGCAGAATTGACTGGGATCCCGGAATTCATTGGGATCCCAGCAGCGCTGCTCTGGGCTCTTGCCCTGGTTCTATGAAGCTGCTCTGCCGTTCCACTCAGATTCTGGAGCTCCAGCCTCCTTCGCTGCTCTCCACGCAGTCTCCACCGTTTTGACAACACCCTTAGGCATGCAGTTCTCCAGGTGCTGTTTCAGATAAAGTCAGTTCCCTCAGGCAGAGCTGCAAAGCTCTTTACGCTGACCGCATGCCCTCCCCCAACACCACCACCACCCGGCCTTTTTCTTGGAATGACATCCCTGCTCTACAGCGGGGCACTGAGGGAGGATAATGTGGCAGCCCTGGTCTTCTTGGTTTGCCTTCCCTGGTATAGAATCTCTGCCCTGTGAGAGAGCTGGCAGGGGCAATCAGGCGTCTTATTCGCGGCCTGCTGCAGAGCTTCTGCCCTTTAAGTGCAAGGAGGCCCTAGTCGTGTTAGCTCCCCTTGCTTGGAATAGATCTTCCGCAATAAGGAGCTGCGGCGGATGAGAAATGCCAACAGCCCCTCCCTCCTGGTAAAAGAAAAACTTCAGCTGAATTCAATGTAAAGGAGTTTAATTGAGCAGCGAACGATTCGCAAATCGGGCAGCCCCCAGAATCACAGCGGATTCACTGAGACTCCAGCACAGCCACGCGGTGGAAGATTTACAGACGAAACAAGGGAAATGATGTACAGAAACCGGCAGTGAGGTACAGAACAGCTGGATTGGTAGCAGGTTGGTGTTTGCCTTATTTCAACAGTTTCAACACGTAGCGGTTTATGAGTGGTTGAAGTATGGCCGCTGGGATTGGCTCAGCCTCCCAAAGTAATTTGTGTATTTTTAGTAGAGACGGGGGTTTCACCACGTTGGCTAGGCTAGTCTTGAACTCCTGAAGTCAGGTAATCCACCTCGGTCTCCCAAAGTGCTGGGATTACAGGCATGAAAACCTAAATTAGGTTTTCAATCTTGTCTATTAAGCTAAGTTGCAGTTCATCCACAAGGACTCATATATAGAAGTACGGAGGCCTTCTCAGGCCATATTGAGTTTGCTTTAACTCTCCCAAGGTGAAATTGCAGCCCCAGACAGGGTGTTAAGTGGAGCGGGAATCTCTGTCTTCTTGATCGCATCTCTTGGTCACATATGCCAGAGCATGGGGCCCAGAATAGAGCTTCTGGAGCTGTAGGGGAGGAAGGGTAGGCAAGGTCGTGGCTCAAAGGCCACAGACTTTGGCTATTCCTCTTACCAGTGTTTAGTACCTTTTTTTTTCTTTCTTTCTTTTTTTTTTTTTTTTTGAGACAGGGTCTCACTCTGTTGCCCAGGCTGGTGATCTCCGCTGACTGCAACCTCCGCCTCCTAGGTTCAAGAGATTCTCCTGCCTCAGCCTCCCAAATAGCTGTGATTACAAGTGCCTACCACCATGCCTGGCTAATTTTTGTATTTTTAGTGGAGACAGGGTTTCGTCATGTTGGCCAGGCTGGTCTCAAACTCCTGACCTCAGGTGATCTCCCCACCTCAAGCTCCCAAAGTTCTGGGATTACGGGAGTGAGCCATCATGCCTGGCTGTTTATACATTTTCTCAAAGACTGTTTCTCCATCTGCTGTGTGTTTTAGGACAATTTCTGGAGACTTTATGACTTGTTTGTATTTTGCTTTTTACAATACTTTTCAGCTGGGCGCAGTGGCTCACCCCTGTAATCCCAGCACTTTGGGAGGCCCAGGTGGGCGGATCACTTGAGGTCGGGAGCTTGCGGCCAGCCTGGCCAACTTGGCGAAACCATGTATCTACTAAAAATACAAAAATCAGCCGGGTGTGGTGGTGCACACCTGTAGTCTGAGCTAATCAGGAGACTGAGGCAGGAGAAACGCTTGAACCCGGGAGGCAGAGATTGCATGAGCTGATACCATGCCACTGCACTCCAGCCTGGATGACAGAATGAGACTCTGTCTCAAAAATAAAAATTAATTAATTAATTAATTTAATTAAATGTTTTTCCCCAGTGAAATGGTTGTTTTGCTGGGTAGAATTTCAACGGAGCTGCGTTCTGTGTCCCTTCCATTCTGGAAGTCCTGCTCATTCGCCAGCGAGGGATGTTTTCCGGAGTAGGAAAGAGTGGCTGCATTTCTAGTTGGCAGGACATTACATAAACCCCTTGACACACACACTGGGTATGTGGCCTGTACCCAACTTCATTTCATGCTGTGATTTCTCAAGCACCAAGCATAAAATAAACCCAAGCAATTTGTTCTGTTCTATGCATACCGAATCGGTTAGCAAGACTTGGCTTTTATTTCTAATGAAGGAAACATGCGGGTTCACTTTTTCAATTTGGTGTCAGTAAAACATTCCAAGAGAAAGTATTCTACCCATAAGGACCTCCTGAAAAACGTGAAAGTTTTCACAAATCCAATACATTTTCCCAAGTTTCAGAGTTACACTGATGTGAAAAGGCTGTGCTGAAACAAATGTTAAGAATGCACAACTTCCTTTACTTTTCAAATTTTAAAAATATTAGTTTTATAATATAATAATTGTTCTATAATCTCCCAATAAGTCTTTCTGGCAGAAATTTTAAAACTGGAGGAAGTATCCTTTTATTTCTTACTTCATTTGTTTATTTATTTTGAGACAGGGTCTAACCCTGTTTCCCAGGCTGGACTGCAGTGGCCCAATCACAGCTCACTGCAGCCTTGACCTCCCAAGCCTCAGGTGATCCTCTTGCCTCAGCCTCCCAAGTAGCTGGGACTATGCCACCGTGCCTGGCTAATTTTTGTATTTTTAGTAGATATGGGTTTTTGACATGTTGCCCAGACTGTTAATTTTTGTATTTTTACTATGGGTTTTTGCCATGTTGCCTAGACTGGTCTCCAACTCCTGGGCTGAAATGATCCACCCACATCAGCCTCCCAAAGTTCTCCCGCAGGCATTAGCCACTGCACCTGGCCATCTTTAAAAGCTTCTGTGTTCCTTCAGACTTACTCAGCAAATCACCTGGTTTCTCCCATGGGTTGCATTCATCAGTCGGATCACATTAGACCAGGAGTCCCGGACAGTCTAGTTTCATTATATTATGCAGACTTTCACATACCACTTTCATCATTTTTACCATATCTTCACATTTTTTTCTATACCTGTGTATCGCCTGCACTTACTAAAACTTTTTTGTAGGCCGGGCGCGGTGGCTCAAGCCTGTAATCCCAGCACTTTGGGAGGCCGAGGTGGGAGGATCACAAGGTCAGGAGATCGAGACCACAGTGAAACCCCGTCTCTACTAAAAATACAAAAAATTAGCCGGGCGCGGTGGCGGGCGCCTGTAGTCCCAGCTACTCGGGAGGCTGAGGCAGGAGAATGGCGTGAACCCAGGAGGCGGAGCTTGCAGTGAGCCGAGATCGCGCCACTGCACTCCAGCCTGGGCAACAGCGTGAGACTCCGTCTCAAAAAAAAAAAAAAAACTTTTTTGTAATACACTTTTAAGTATTTATTTATTTCTTTTTTTTTTTTTTTTGAGACAGAGTCTCGCTCTGTTGCCCAGGCTGGAGTGCAGTGGCACAATCTCGGCTCATTGCAAGCTCCGCCTCCCGGGCTCCCGCCATTCTCCTGCCTCAGCCTCCCCAGTAGCTGGGACTATAGGCACCCGCCACCACGCCTGGCTAATTTTTTGTATTTTTTAGTAGAGACGGGGTTTCACCGTGTTAGCCAGGATGGTCTCAATCTCCTGACCTCATGATCTGCCCACCTTGGCCTCCCAAAGTGCTGGGATTACAGGCATGAACCACTGCGCCCGCCCAAGTATTTCTTTCTAAATGCGTTCATTTTTAAAGCAAATGTTTTATCACTCGTGCAAATAGCCAATTAATATAATGAAAACAAAAATTAAACATTCTAGCTAGATACTGTTAAAGGCTCTGAACTTGAGGCCTGCTTTCTCTGTATAAAGAGAGCTATGAAATAAAATAGCTGTATTTGATTAGTGCTTACTGTCAGAAGCACTTTATACATGGTACCTCATTTAATATTTATAACCATTGTATGAAGTAGATTGTTTCCCCATTTTACACAAGAGGAAGCTAAGTGATACTGGGTCTGTGTCCCCCCTGAAATCTCATGTCAAATTATAGTACCCGAGGTTGGAGGTGGGTTCTGGCGGGTGGTGACTGGATTATGGGGGTGGATTTCCCCTTTGGTGCTGTTCTTGCCATAGTGAGTGAGTTATTTCGAGATCTGGTTGTTTAAGTGTGTAGCCCCGCGCCCCCCGCCCCGCTTCTTCCTACTCCAGTCCTATAAGACGTGTCTGGTTCCCTTTCATCTTCTGCCATGATTGAAAGTTTCATGAGGTCTCAGAAGCCATCATGCTTCCTGTACAGCCTGCAAAACGGTGAGCCAGTTAAACCTCCTTTCTTTATAAATTACCCAGTCTTAAGCATTTCTTTTTCTTTTTCTTTTTTTGAGATAGTCTCTCTCTGTCGCCCAGGCTGGAGTGCAGTAGCACGATCTTGGCTCACTGCAACCTCTGCCTCCTGGGTTCCAGCGGTTCGCCCACCTCAGCCTCCCGAGTAGCTGGGATCACAGTTACCCACCATCATGTCTGGCTAATTTTTGTATTTTTGTAGAGACAGGGTTTCACCATGTTGGCCAGGCTGGTCTTGAACTCCTGACCTCAGGCAATCCACCTGCCTTGACCTCCCAAAATGCTGGGATTACAGGCGTAAGCCACTGCGCCCAGCCAAGTATTTCTTTATAGCAGTGTGAGAACGGACTAATACTCTGAGGTATAAGATAGAATAAATGGCAGAGGCAGTGGATCAAGCAGCATTAACATAAGCAACTCCATCTTAGAAAAAGACTCCATCTTACATTTTAAAAGGCATCATGCCGACAGGGACCAGATGTTCACCTAATCAACAGACACTGCACCCAACCAGATAAGGACAAAGCCAGACATACTTTTCCACTATCAGTCCTCACCAAAGTACTCTGGAGAGCAGGACCTCGCCAGCTCAAAACAGCCATCTTAACAGACACTGTCTTGCTGTCACTTGTGATAAGCACCTGGCATCCACCTCTGAAGTCTGTGCCCACATAAAAGACTCTTCCTTGCAAGATCTTGATGGACAGCCTGGACAAAGCCAGGACATTCTTTTTGTCTACATTGCTCTTCCTGAACTGGTTAACCCTTTCCCTCATCCCTTTTCTCTTGATTTTTTATTGTTGTTGTTGTTGCTGAGACGGAGTCTCACTCTGCCGCCCAGGCTGGAGTGCAGTGGCACCATCTCGGCTCACTGCAACCTCTGCCTCTCAGGTTCAAGCAATTCTCCAGCTTCAGCCTCCAAAGTAGCTGGGGTTACAGGTGTACACCACCACACCTGGCTAATTTTTGTATTTTTAGTAGAGACAGGGTTTCACTACATTGGCCAGGCTGGTCTCAAACTCCTGACCTCAAGCGATCTGCCCGCCTTGGCTTCCCAGTGTGCTCGGATTACAGACGTGAGCCCCTGCACCCGGCCTCTCTTGATGTAAAATTTACTTTATTTGATGTGGAATGTTTAATCTATAACATTTATATATCCATTAAGCATACCACACTATGTATGGTTTGCAATGTTGACTGACTTGTGGAATGGTTTGACCCTCACAGCTTGACTACTGAGTGAATGGGTTATAGTAAGGAGACTCGCCTCCTTGGTAATTCTATGTAGCTCGTGGCTTCTGTGATTGAAATAGCATCAATACCAGTCTGACACTGTGGAAAGACACAAACATGTGTGGACCTGGTTGTCTGACCTTGAGAGGCTCAGGATAGCCAGGATTCAAATAGAGGCAGGCAGGAGTCAGGGCACCTAGCTGCCTCCTACATAATGCAAAAGACAAGTGATTATGATTTGATGTCATCTGTGCCTCAATTACGAATGCCTGAGATTGCATTGGAGTACATGGCCCTACTTTGGAAACGCTGGTCTGGGGGATGTCCAGACGGCTCTGAGGAAAGGTGTCTTCCTTCCACACTCAGATACACATGAAAATGCTGCACATTCTCTCAGCTTTTGGAGATTCACACTTTGCATTGGTATCTAAAAGGTTCTCAAAGTCCTGCAGCAAAGACTCTATTAAGCTTTCTTTTTCTTTTTTAGAGACAGGGTCTCATTCTGTTGTCCAGGCTGGAGTGCAGTGGTGTGATCATGGCTCACTGCAGCCTCGACCTACTGGACTCAAGTGATCCTCTTGCTTCAGCCTCCTGAGTAGCTGGGGCATGTGCCACCACACCTGGCTATTTTTTTTTTTTTTTTTGAGATGGAGTCTTGCTCTGTTGCCCAGGCTGGAGTACAGTGGCACGATCTCGGCTCACTGCAAGCTCCGCCTCCCAGGTTCATGCCATTCTCCTGCCTCAGCCTCCCGAGTAGCTGGGACTACAGGCGCCCGCCACCATGCCCGGCTAATTTTTTTGTATTTTTTTCAGTAGAGACGGGGTTTCACCGTGTTAGCCAGGATGGTCTTGATCTCCTGACCTCCTGATTCACCCACCTCGGCCTCCCAAAGTGCTGGGATTACAAGTGTGAGCCACCGCACCTGGCCCCCTTTTTTTTTTTTTTTTGTAGAAATGAGGTCTCACTGTGTTGCTCAGGCTGGCCTCAAACTCCTGAGGTCAAGCGATCCTCCCATCTCAGCTTCCTGAGTAGCTGGGGCTACAAGCATGCCACCATGCCCGGCTGATTAAAAGAAATTTTTTTTGGTAGAGATGGGGATCTCACCATGTTGCCCAGTTTGGTCTCAAACTCTTGACTTCAAGCAATCCTTCCTCCTCAGCCTTCCAAAGTGGTGGAGTTACAGGCATGAGCCACTGTGCCGGCCTCTTTTAAGCTTTCTTTAATGCAGCATTTCCTATTGGATCTCAGAATCATTTTAAAGAGAGCATGTATTTGTACCTCAGGAGACACAAATGTTCCATGACGCAGTCTAAATTCCTCTCAGCATTTAGAATAACATTCATTTCATTCAAAAATATTCCTAGTTTTTAAAGATGAAGAAGGTATTGCTTCCCTGAAAGAGGCTACAAATATTCAAATAGGGTTTCTGTTTCCAGGTGAATTTTCTCATGCCGTCGAACACAGATCACTTCAGGTCATCATTTTCTAACCGCCCGTCCAGTCCTTCCACACCCCCTTCCGACTTGGCAGCAGCAGCAGCATTTCCACCAGGTGACGGCCTTTGTCACTGCCAGTTCCACTGGGGGACACCGGCAGCCATGGGCAAAGGAAGCCCTGGGCATTTGAATTTGGCACAGAAGCTGCCACCATGTGTCAGGCACCCTGTATTCAAAGAGTGAAAGGAAAATAGAATCTCGGAATCCCAAACTCAGGATGGCAAAGGGAAAGTTCAGCGTGGGAACTGAGTCACACAAAAACTGCTGTTCCTTCTGTTCCCAGACAGCTGTAATTTCACCATCTCATGTCACAGCCTTATTTCCTTTACTCCCTCTTTAAACGTTAACTTTATCTTGTGTAAAATGAAGATTTACTGAGCTGGAGACAATGCATAATTGCTTTTTTCCTCTACTCCCTCTTTTCACAGGTAAAATGTAAATTTACTGAAGCTAATCAGAGCCTCACAAGAAGGTAAGCATCTGCCTCATTGCCTACCCTCCCTATTTTTCCCTCTTGCTTGCTCTTTCCCTTTTAAATATCAAAGTTCCCAAAACCCCTTTGGAAAAAGCACAGGCCACAGATGCTTCTGTGATCTGCGTTTTTCCCAGGAGTGTCCTTGATCTTGGCTAAATAAACCTCAAATCGATTGAGACCTGCCTCAGTCACCTTTTGGTTTACAAAAGTTCAGTGAACCTGAAAGTTCTTTCAAAAAGCTCACAAAAGGGGGAAATTGCCTTAGAAGGGAACGACATATGTGATAAGTAATGCACTTCTAATTGTCACCACTGACACCTGCTTCCGTGTGGCCTGCTCAGAACTCAGTTTCTTGATGAAGAAAGAGAAGGCCCAAATTGATGTGTGCTAATTGCACGACCTTCACCAGGAAGAGGGAGGCAGTGGCATAGAGTGAGTGCTTGGGGTTGCTGGATGCAGCCGTAGAGCCACACCTCTCCCACGTGGGATGCACCTCTTGTGACACTTCTCTTTTGGAAATTCTAACTGCCTCATGGTTTCCTCTGTACTCTCGGCAGAAGTGGCTTTGAATTCTGGGCACCCCACGGCTCTACCTGCCTTGTCAGGAGTCTTGCAGGGAGGCCCTCCCGGTCTGAGGCAATCCCTTCTTCCCTGTATTGCTCTGTCTTCAGGGCAGGGCTCCTCTTGTTACAGTAGGTAGCCAGACAGACATGAGCAGGGCAGAAGAAACCCCCCCAGCAACCATCAGGTGAGAAGGTCAGGTGGTTGTTACACTGTGTTTCTAAAATAATAATTGGTTACAGCCGGTGCCAGGGAAAGGCAGGCTCCCAATACATAGAAAACACCTAAAACTGGTGATCAGATGCTTTCAGATAAGTGGTCAGGAGCTGGGTGAGTGGGCTCAAGCATGCGCATTAAGAAGCAAAATGGCGGCGCTTAACTGGTATAGGACCTTCTAGGTCCTATACCTTCAACTAGTAAGGGAAGAAAACCTCAGGTGAGCATGCGCACAACTCCAGTAATTCACTGCGCATGCGCCCCCTCCCAAGCGCTGACAGGCCACTGCACATGTGGACAGCCCACCCCAGGGGAAGAATCAGGGGAGGCCTCGGGAAAAATGCCAACGTATAAAACCCCAGGTCAAAGGTCAAACTGTGCACCTGATCTCTCAGGCCGCCTGCTTGGCCCTCTTCCAAGTGTACTACTTTTCGTTCCTGTTTTAAAGCTTTGTAATAAACTTTCCCTCCGGCCCTAAAACTTGCCTGGGTCTCTCCCGCTGTCTTGTGCCCCTTGGTTGAATTCTTTCTTCTGAGGAGGCAAGAATTGAGGTTGCTGCAGACCTGTTATGGATTCACTGCTGTTAACCCCCTGGCCTTGGTCCTTACTTCTCTTTGCCTTTTAAACAATATGGAGGACTAAATCCTCTGACGGGTACCTGAGGGGCCTGCTCTTCCAGTTTGCAAATAGGGCACCCTGGGGCAATATGTAGCAGGTGGTGGTAGGACTTCTGCTAAGAGCCTTTGAAAGACAAATCAGGGGAACTTCCAAACCTACCAGAAATTTAACAGCTGTGACTTAGGAATATAGTGGATCATTAAAAAAAAAAAAAAAAAAAAAAGAAACATTTAAGAGAGCGGATATTCAAGAGTTACATCCTCAGCCTTAAAACAGAGGCAGTTTTAAAACAGGGACTCTTTCGGGGACCAACTACCAAACAGATGAGAGCTACCACCACCCACCTCCCACAGCTCCAACAGTACCACTAAGAACTAAAACTATAAAACAGTCATTCCTTAACTGACAGAATTAAAAGTAAAAACAAAATGAACAAAATCAGAAATAATGAAGCTCTGGGAATACAACTGCTTAACCATTTCTTTGTATTTTTATTGATTTTTTTTTTTTTTTAATTTCTGCCCAGTTACGACAACGAAATGGGAAACCACAATTACAATTCACAAATCATGGCATGAAAAACAACACACACCCCATCAGGAATTACACCAAACCCTTTCCTTTTTATTCATTCAAAAGAGAGTCCAATACACAAGTGTCAAATACGAGCACTGTCATTTTATTTTTTTTTCTTAGAAGGGGGAAAACATTTATTTTGGCAGTGCTTTACAATTCCTGGAAGTGGTTTTGATACCACAAGTTGCAGGAATAGAAACCCTAACAAACTTGGAGGGCATTTGTTTGAGAGGCAAGGGACGCCTTGCTTAGAAAACATTCCTCTTGTGCTTAGTGAATCGCCTGTCGCCTCGGTGGGCTGCTGTGTCTTTCCAGGTGTTGAAAGAGAAAACAGAATTTCTTGCATAGACAGCTGAAGAGTCCTGTAGAGCAGAGTGATTTTTCTATCTCCAACCCTCCTCCCACCCTGAAACAAATTCGCAAGCTTCTCTGGAGCATCTTTTGGTCACATGACCCTCTATCATGGTAACCCTTTTGCTAAGACACGTGTGACACCAAGGTTTCTTCTGACACTGCTTCTCTAGGGTTCAGATGACAGCACAAAACATCACTTGTCAAAAATACTAGGTATTATGAATGTGGGCGTTTATGTTCATAACAGCAAATACTTTGCAGGGTGTGTCACCAAAAGGAGCATTTTCGTCATTTAATATGGTCCCTCGGGAGTTAGCCCAAAATCATACAAATAAGTCTTTTTCTAAAGACGGGTCAAAGTTGGTTAATTTGACAGTTGAGGAACTGTCTCATGCCAATTAAAAAACTCTTACTGCCCAACTATTCAATGGTCCAAAAAGCAATGACGTTACCATTCAGTTTTACACACATGCACACGCACACACAGACGCGCACACACACACGAGAACTGTGACAAAAGGATTCACCAGATTGATCGTGTGACTGTGTTCTAAAAGAAAACTCTCAAACTTCAGGTGTCCTATTCAAGTACTAAAAAAATGCAAACATAGTCTGATCCCATTTGATTTTTATGATCACAGTAAATCATTCTCTGAACTGCAGGTTCTGGAGCCAGTGAAATCAACGCCTGGGGCACAAAATATTCTACAAAAATCGGTGTGTGATTTCTAGCAGGGCAGCCACTTGCTCGTTACTTCTTTTAAAAAACATGTTGAGACTGTGGCCTTCCAAGAGTCAATACTTGATGAAAGAAGTAAAATAGTGAGTACCAGCAACTCACTCTTTTTGTCTGACGCTGGCGAGAAGCAGTCAGTTTTATACATTTTCAATCAACCCACGGAGGAGGCAAATGTAAACAGAGTTTTTTACACTCTCCGAAAAACGTGTTACTACTGTAGCATATGCTGTTTGGCCCAATTAAAAGGAGAATGGAGAGCAATTTGTTTGGTTTGCTTTTTAAGTTTTACCTCGTGAAGATTTTAAAACGAGGGTTTTACTAGTTCTTGGCAGGAGACTGTCCAATCAGAGGTTCTGTATTTATAAATAACCCATGTGGGATTATGCTCTCCAGTGAGCATAACTGGAGTCTAAATTCACAACCTTAAGGTCTGACAGCCAGATGTGAAAGGTCTGCAAAGAGCTCTGCTAATAAGTAATATGTTTGCAAAGTGCTCTGCTAAGTAAGGTACTTATTAGGCAGAGCACTTTGTAAGATTCAGAACTGACTCCTGATTATCTTAAGCCATTAAAAGACTCAAGTTTTGCATGGACTTTTTGTCCTCTTTGGCCCCTGAGTGTGCCCCATCTCTGCCCGGCACTAATAACGTGTGGAAAGCAAGGATTTCCCACCAGCGTGCCCGATCATTTATATAGGCAGGACCTTTATTGAAAAGAAGGGAAGGGACACGGTCTTAAATGCACATTTAAGGTTCTTTCTGGTTATTGGCAATCTCTATGAACCAACACTTAATCCATGGGCTAACAGAGTTTTTTTTTTTTTTTTTTTTTTTTTTTTTAAAGCTGAGGAGGATTAAAGAATAAAGAAAAAACAAAAAAGTCTTATACTAAAATAAGAAATCAGCCCCATCTTGGCACAGTTCTCATGCAGAATATTGCACCCAGTGTGAACTAACGCTAGAAGCTTCAAACTGTATAAATTTAAATGTATTTGCATATTATAAAAATAAAGATAAACATATACATATTTTACACTAGTTATGGAACAGCAATGAACGTCAGTCGATCCCTCTTTCACATTTAACAGAACTGAAATCTGAGTGCTCTAAATACTGCCACCTGTACTGTAACTATGGCTTATATGTGCACGGAAAACAAAATCCCTGAGAAGCCATTCGACTTTTTTTTTTTTTTCTTTTCTTCAAGTAGCGCGCTCCTTGGAGGATCACAGTTCTGAGGTTCAGGTTGTAAAACATTTGCTCCATCTTCTCGCCCATGCTTCCCCCCCACCCCCTCCCCACCTCTTCCCCAATCTTCCAAAAAGCATCCTGCAAGCACGCGTTGTCACTCAAGTTCACAGAACACGCTGGGGGGAGTGCAGAGGGTCTGCCAGGTGCAAAAAATGGTCCAGGTGTTCAGATGCTCTCTTTTCTCCATGGAAATTCCACAGCCACAAACATCACTGGTTTCTGTGCTTTTCACCAACGTTCTTCCTGTATGGGTGGACAAGAAGAAAGCAGAGAGATGACAAAAAGGTACTGGACAATGCTACCCTCAATAAGAAAAGGAAGTGATGATAGAAATCTATTTTCTCACATATTTTCATTTCTACTTCTAGGACTCATTATAAATATGTAAATGTCAGGCAACTAATGTCCCCACAAAGGAAAGAGTCATTTTAGCAGTCTATTTGCCAAACATTTCTGTTGGTGTGTTAAGCTCAGTTCAGCTATAAAGAGGGAACTGTACTAATTGGCTGTCACCACTTATTCCACTGTAATTTTATAGCTTAACTAGACCTCTAATTAACAACCCAAAACTCTAACCACGGAACTGTTTCCTTTCAATAAACACGCACAGTCACACATAGACACACACCAAATAATCCTCTAGGAGAAGGGATATATACTAAAAAGTGAGATGTCTGTCCACCTAAAATGCATGATTTTACTTAAAATGTTATACGTTAAGTTGTCCACGAAAATCTGGAGTCTGATCAATATAGAATGAAGAGATTACTGCAGCCTCAGCAAATAAACAAAGCGGCATTCAGTTCCAGTAAAATGGTTAGAGGAAAAACATCAAGTGTTTTTCTCATTTTTGCTTCCCTACAATGACACGTGATGGAATGTTTTGTAAAGTGTGTGTGTGTTTTTTTAAGCAACTTTCAATAAAATATACAAAGACATTGAAAGGGAAGGAAAAAGGAGTTACGATTCGTTTTCCCCAATCCCCCATCTCTCGTTAGGAGAGACAGTGATTTCATGGACACTGATAATTCAGCATCTGCCTAAACACTTCTCCAGTCCCTACAAGATTCAGCCATGGGCTCGTTCAAGCATGATAATAATGACATCACCAAAACAAACAAACCAAGAAAAACAAAAACCTCTCATTTACTAACTACATGCCAGGAGTTAGGTTGTTCACTCTAGCGCATTATTTATCTTCAACTCCTGACAATCCCACCATGTAAGCTCCGTCTTATCAGCATCTTACTAAGAAGGGAACTAAGGTTCCAAAAGGTGAAATAACTTCCCCAAGGGTGCATACTAGCGAGTGGCAGAGCCAGGCCTTTCACTAGGGTGATCTGACTCCAAAGCTAAAAGAGAAGTTGGATATTTGGAGCCCTAGGAAGAATTTCACATTTCTACGGCACTCTGCCACAAGAATATTTTTAATGCCTATTCATATAGTAAACTCCCGGAAGACAGCGTTTTGAAAACTGCCTCAAATTCAACTAATAATATAATCAACCTAACTGTAAGGACGGCAGTGTAAAAACACACGTTTCAACCCAGCAGCTAACTTTGGTGGTGTGAGTTTTGGGTTCACGAAGAGATGTGCTACATAAACATTTTCCCACTGAATCTAACAGACCTTCGGAAATGCAGACGGTCTGCTCCCGGCCTACACGTAAGACTGAGAAACACAAGAATACCTAATCAAGGGCACCTAGAGGAAATATCCCATTGTTCAACCAGCTTGAAAATTGTTTCACATCTATGCCTTTTTCCACATTTGGGACCTAAAGAAAACCACCATCAAAATCACCGGCCTTCTCTGTTTCTCCCCGCCTCTCTATCTCCATAAACTTGTCCTCCTCCTTCAAGACCCACCTCAAATACGACTTCCTAGAACTTTTTCTCATTCTTCCTGGTAGAGTTCCTTCTTCCCTGTGCTTACGGGACTCTGTTCATACACCTATCATGGCAGGTACCATGTTTCAATTATAATTAGACTCTGACAAGTTTGTCTGATTATGGCTTTGATTCTCATCTTCTCCAAAGAGGCTATTAGGTTCTGGAGGGCAGGATCTGATTTTAGTGCTTTATGTATCCTCAACACCCGGCCCAATGCCTACTAGAGGATAATTACTCAACAAATATCTATTGAATGGATGGGTCAGATGTGATGAAACAGCCACAGGTAAAAAGTAGCCAAGATACTATGAGATTATTACCAAAAGAGGTATATAAAAAGTATTGAGGAGAGCCAGGTGCAGCAGCTCATGCCTGTAATCCCAGTGTTTGGAAGACTGAGGCAGACGGATCAACTGAGATCAAGAGTTTGAGATCAGCCTGGCCAATATGGCAAAACCCTGTCTCTACTAAAAATGCAAAAATGAGCTGGGCGTGGTGGTGCATGCCTGTAGTCCCAGCTACTCGGGGAGCTGAGGCAGGATAATCGCTTGAACCCAGGAGGCGGAGGTTGCAGTGAACCAAGATTGTGCTACTACACCACAGCCTGGGTGACAGACCGAGACTCTGTCTGAAACAAACAAAAAAGTACTGAGGAAACGTGAAGAACAGAGTGACTGGTTACAGTGAGGATGATTAGCGGTGGCTTCCCAGAGGAGGTGACCTATGATCTTGGCCTCAGCAACCAATGGGCCTTCACTGGTAGGAGAGAAGGGCAGCAGCCAGCCAGTGGACTGAGAGGTAGCCAGGGCCCACCATGGTTGACCTCCCACAGAAAGAGAGTGTCCTGTGTGTTGGCAGAGTGCCTGGGGTCTGATTGTGCAGGGCCTTGTGAGCCATGGCCAGGAGGTTTGAACTTGAGCCTGTTATCACCAGGAAGCCATCCAAGGCTTTTGAAGAGGGAGAGACATGATGGGGTCTGATGTTAAAAGATAATTAATGTTGGTTTGAAGGACAAAAAGATAAGAGAGCAGGCAGCCAGCTGAGACTCAGTCACAGGAACCTTGGCAGAGATGGGGGAAGTGGTGGCTGGGGTGGGGGGTCAGGCCCTAGAAAGAAGCCCGAGGCTGGAGCTGAAGATATGGGTCAAATTCATTCATGTCAGGACACTGATGGGATGGGATAAAAGGTGTTGGAGAATTACTACACACAGGGAAGAAAGCAGAGGAAAGCATTGAGGCTCACGGACTCCTAGCTTGGGGCCGATGGTGCAAAGCTACCCCGTTGCCAAAGACAGGTCACAGATTGAGGAAGAACTTTGGGGGAGGAAGGCAATAAATTCAGCTGCACGCCTGTGAGGCCTACAGGACATCCAGGAATGATGATGCCAGGTGAGACACTGGAAACAGAGGTCTGGAGTTGAAGGGAGGGGCCAGCCTAGGGGGCACCCAGCCCCCGAGTCCTCCCAGGTTAGGGAATCGAAATCTGCCCTTTCGGGATGCAACAAAGAAATTATAACTCAAGGTACTGAGATGCTTAGGCTGAAACTGAAGCCATGGCGTGCTGTATTAACTATGTCTTTTATTTTCTGTATTCTGGTGCTTTCCTATCCTGGGCCTTGCAGACTCTGGAGGGACTGTCTCTCCCAGGATTAGCCAATTCCTAGAGATGGTAAAACAACTTGCCCGGAATACACTCTTCAAATACAAACCAACTAATCCTGAACCCACACCTGGAACACCTCCTTTACTGGCTCTCACACTGTAGGCCACCATCCACCTGCCCCCGAGCCAGGTGCCAGACAACTAAGGCAACCCCTCTGCCCCAGGGCCACTGAGATTATTCAGATGAGCCTGTCCTAGACCTGCCTACCCGGTCTTGCCCATTCTTCCCCTCATGCCCCCAGTCCCTTCCTCTCCCTCCATGTGACCATCCCGGTACTTCCCTGTGTAGTTCCTGAAGGTGTGGACCCACCTGATGTTTGATTTCTGCATAATAGTAAAATTTTTAAAAAATGACTTCCTTTTTTGAACAAGGATCTAAGATCACTGTCTATGCAATATCATAGTAAATTAAGCAAAAGAATCAAGCAGTTCCCTTCTTCCTAATTCCCACAAGCAACTTGATTCTAGAGAAGTATAAGGTTTGTCTAGGATTCCTGCTCTCCAAAATCTCTTCATCCCAACACCCCCATATCCCAGAGGGCCTTACCTATTTAAGAAATTCTCTCTGCTTCACGGAGACTTACCCTTAAAAATTGGTGCTCCTAAAGTCACAGTTTGGGTACAGTAAAAATGATGGCATAAGGAAAAGAAGCACTATCTTTTCCACTTAATTTTCCAAGAAAGTATGAAGATACCCAAGCAGAGAGGGAAAAATTCCAGTATCAATGTGGCTGATGGGAGACTAAATAATTAAAGAAACACAATTCCTCCCAGCTTGTTAAAACAGCAAGGCAAAGAGCTGTCTCACTCCTTGCATAGAACAAAACAAATCAATGCAAATCGATGTGAAATGCCCCACAGGCAACGTCCACAAGCGGCCTTTTCTTATCAAACACCATCCCTTCCTCACCCTCTGTATTTTAAAATTCTGCTGTCAGTGAAAAATTCTCCATTGTGACGAAGCCTAATTCATCTCATGCCATTGCTTTTTAAAAATCTTTTATCAAGTTCATACTAATTTGTGTGCTAGTAGACATACATGGCCTGTTTATTTGGTGATATAAAGGCTACAAACTTCATCCTGCTTTTTATGAAAGGCAACTGCAATTGGTCTTAAATGTCTTTATGTCAAAACGATGCTACTGCCGAAATTCCTGTGCAAAGTCATCACGGTACTTTTGAGAATAGTTACAAACAGCAAGTAACTGGAATTTAGTGGGGATCTTGCTTGAATGGGAACTCTACGGTATATAGGCAATAATCCAACATTTTAAAAGGGAATTTTGAAATGCAATAACTCAGCCTTCCCCTCTATTATTAGTAGTACTTCCTAAAAAAGGAGAAAGCTTAGCTCAACAATTTTCAAACCACCCCCACCTTTTTTTTTTTTTTTTTTTTTTTGGTAATTCTATAATACGTGATCAGCCAAAATCAGAATGAACTTCCTTCTTTAGTCTCAGAACTCCCACCACTCCCCACATATCGGAGCACAGACAGATACGGTATTGCTGCAGGAGAAACGTCAACCACCAGGAAACAAGAGTAACACATGCCCACTTCCTGTACATTCAAGGGTCAGTCCATTAAGAAACCACATGTCAGAATGTGGGTCGCATTCCAGTAATGCCTTAAGGTAAAACATTGTCATACGATGACCTGTTGAATTTTCTTGGTCTTTTACACAAAAATCAGTAGATAAACTGGGTTATCTGGCAGGTTATCGAAGAGTCTTCAGTTTGGTGGAGGAGGGAGTTGCTCTAAAGCTCTTTGGAAGGAGAAAGAAGCATTCTGCAGGATCCCTGAGAATGAAACGCAACCAGCAAGCTGTCATTTGTCCAGAGAAGCTCACGCTCCCTGGGAACTGGAATATTCGGTCTCACCCTGAAGAGTAGCTGGACAGAGACAGGAATTCACGAATAAAAGCTTTAAAAGATTATGCGTTCTACTTGCTTCCTACCTTGCCCACCGGAAGTATATGTTTGCCCTCTGTTTTGACTCCTAATGTCAAGGCTCAGTACCCCTGAAATATCTAGGGTCTAATTAGGCTGCCATGAAGAAGTTCTAAAGGAGGAGCTCTCCAAGCAGCTCCAGCTCCTCTCCACCATCCAGGAAATAGGGGGCTGGCAGTGGGAGGAGCAAGACAAGCCACTGTCTTTAGACTGAACTGTGCCAAGGATAACGTGTTTATGAGAACCTCTTTAAAACTCAGAAATCGGCTGGGTGCAGTGGCTCATGCCTGTAATCCCAGCACTTTGGGAGGCTGCGGCGGGCGGATCACGAGGTCAGGAGATCGAGACCATCCTGGCTAACACGGTGAAACCCCGTCTCTACTAAAAATACAAAAATTAGCCGGGCATGGTGGCATGCGCCTGTAGTCCCAGCTACTCGGGGACTAACAGGAGAATCACTTGAACCCAGGGGGCAGAGGTTGCAGTGAGCCGAGATCACGCCACTGTACTCCAGCCTGGGTGAAGGAGTGAGACTCTTGTCTCAAAACAAAACAAAACAAAAACAAAACAAAGCAAAAAGCAAACAAAAAACTGGGAAATCTGCTTCATACTAACATACCAGCCAGCAAAACCATTCCTGAAAGTGACACTAAAAATATTTATTGGCCGGGCGTGTGGCTCACGCCTGTGATCCTAGCACTTTGGGAGGCCAAGGCGGGTGTATTACCTGAGGTCGGGAGTTCAAGACCAGCCTGGCCAACATGGTGAAACCCCGTCTCTACTAAGAATACAAAAAATAAAAAATTAGCCAGGTGCAGTGGCGCGTGCCTGTAATCCCAGCTACTCTGGAGGCTAAGGCAAGAGAATTGCTCGAACCCAGGAGGTGGAGGTTGTGGTGAGCCGAGATCATGCCACCGCACTCCAGCCTGGGCTACAGAGTAAGACTTCATCTCAAAAAACAAAACAAAACAGAAAAACAACAACAAAAAACTTACTGACTGCATGAACTAGGTGTTGGATAAGACACAAGTTAACTGAAAATAGGCAGCAGATTTCTTTTTGGGGTGAAGAAAACGTTCTAAAATTAGATTGTGGTGATGGTTGTATAAATACAACTCTGTAAATACATCAGTAATCATTGCACGGGCGAGTTGTCTGGTATGGAAATTATACATCAATAAAGCTTTTAAAAATGTATCTGTCACAATCGGTATAGTGGAAGAGGTCAGAATTTTTCAGAGCAACCCAGGCAAATCTGCTACTAGGTGAATGTTCACCTCATCTTAAATGCAGGTATCCTTGAAAATCAACTCGAGATATGGAAATTACTCACATTTCTATCTGATAATCAGCAAAGGGGACAAGAAGACACTCAGCTCCTGTTTCTCCCTGGAGGGGGAGGTGCAGAAGGCGAGGCATTTCATCCTGTTCCTGAAACCTCTTCCCAATGAAACGCTGGTGGAAACCTCAACCACCAATCCACTGAGACAAGTTATAAGAGTAAATCATGTTCTTAAAAAAAAAAAAAAAAATCACTACCTACTCCTTATTCTCTGTCTCTCCCCATGGGGGAATAAAACATCTAGAAATTTTTAAAAATTAGAAATAGAAAAGCTTGGAATTCATTTAAAAAGGCCAATCAGGTAACAGTTATCTATGGTTTCTTCTTTATAAAGAAAGCATTGCAGCACCTTTAGTCAAAGGCAGTTAAATGACAAGTCTCTGATTTGACCAATAAAGGAGAGGGGTAAACCAGTCAAAGAAGAGCTTGGAATGTCTTTTTAAAAACCATCATAAGATCTAGATCAGCCACCTAAGCCCCACACTGGCCAGCAATCACCTAGGGTGATTATTCTGGTGTACCTAGCTAGGAGCCTTCTGGTGGGCACCCATCATCCTGGCATGATGACTGACAGCCGTCCCATCACTCTCAATCCTCTCGTGACTTGAACAGTAGGTGATATGTTCACCTTATCTGAGAGTGGCAGGGACTGTGCTGAGGCTGAGAGCTGACAGCATGGACAGTTTTGCCTTTGGGCTGCAGAGCAGGTATTGACCACAGAGCAGTCTTAAGGCCCCACTGGCCAGGGAGCCCACCCTTAGAGGCATGGACTGGAAAACTGAGCCATCAGAAAGTTGTGTACACATGTTAGACTCATCTGGGTGGCTTCTTTTGTTTTTTAATGACTCATGCCTGGTCCCTTCCCTGAGAAATTCTAACTTAACATATCTGATTAAGAAAGTCTGACTTTGGCCAGGCATGGTGGCTCATGCCTGTCATCCCAGCATTTTGGGAGGCTGAGGCAGGCGGATCACTTGAGGTTAGGAGTTCGAGACCAGCCCAGCCAACATGGTGAAACCCCGTCTCTACCAAAAAAATACAAAAAATTAGCCAGATGTGGTGGCGTACACCTGTAGTCCTAGCTACTCAGGAGGCTAAGGCAGAAGAATCACTTGAACCCTGGAGGTGGAGGTTGCCATGAGCTGAGATTGCACCACTGCACTCCAGCCTGGGTGACAGACTGAGACCCTTTGTCAAAAAAAAAAAAAAAAAAAAAAAAAAAAAGCCTGACCTCTATGGTGACCTGCTTAAGTTACTTTGGCTGGAGTTGAAAGCCAGTGCAATAGCCCCGGACTTCCAATGTCTAGCGCCTGCTGAGACCCCAAGTCTCGGGTTCAGGCCCAAGCTGTGTTGACTTAACTACCTTCTTTGCCAGCTATCCTCATGGATCACCCCAAATCTCCGGCTTCCAATCCACTGTCATCCACCCATGAATGGGACCTTCCCCGGAGGCTGGTCCGCCCTCCACATGGTTTTGTTTTCGTTTTGTGTTCATGGATGGAAACTGTGGGTGCTTAAGGCTGCGAAGGTGGGGGAACACTGGGCAGCTTGAGCACAGGCTACACATCTACGTGTGCTTTCCTATGAGGTCACACAAGAGATAATTTACCCCTTGCGGCTGCAGTAAAATATGGTAATGTCCAAGAAACGTCTTGCCAGGAATATGAAACTTTCCTATGTGGAGAATATTCCTTCATTTAGAGTTGAGAATGATGTTGCAAAGCTGTCATCCATTTCATGAGACTTTCTTTTTTAACCTATTTCAAAATAAAATGAATCTGATCGCTAGGTCAAAAGTGGTTCATCCCTAAAGAGGCTCCCTCAGCATCTAGATGTCTGCCGCCACGTACCGCAGCTTATCCAAGCCTTTAAGGCTGCTTGTTCGTTCGGGTTCAACACACTGTTGAGAGAGAAGCTGCTAACATTTGTTTCAGGTTGGTATAAATGTGGTCTTTCTGTGGCAGTACAAGAAGCCCACGGAAAAGCACTGATAAAGCTGGCTCGGTGCCGGGAAGGTTTCTCGTACAAATGGATATTTTAACTCCTACCTCTATTGCACCTATGCGACGGCATGTGGCTAGGGCAAAACAATAGATTCATGTCTCTCTCGGCTCTGGAAAGTTTATGCCAATGCAAAGTATATTTAATTTTTGTTTCCTCTGTTTCATACCTTGCTGGTTCTGTAATATCCCCTTGAGCTTTAAGAACTTACGGGGTATTAAAAAAAAAAAAAGAGAGAGAGAGAGAAGAAAAAGAAAACACATAATATCCCCTTATCCATCCTCACCCAGGTGTATCTGAAAGAAAGGGACCAATGTGTACAATTTCAAAGAAATTTAAAAAAAACAATAAAATTTCTGTTGTTTGATATGTTCAGGACAGGGGATTATTCTGGTTATTCTGGTTAAAAGTAATTTCACAATTACTTTTGCACCAACCTAATAATAGTTACTCTGTAGTCCTATTTTAATATTTAAGAAGCACTTCAAGATTCACAATGTCTCAGAGTCAGTGATAAATTAAACCACGCACATGATAGTTAAATAGTACTCTGAACACAAGGGCATTAGATAAGAGTTTCCCTTGGGTGTTCAGTGATATTTTCCAGCAAGGATAGATTAAGGATGTTCTATGTAATGAGTTTCCCAGTTTGGAGAAATGGGGCACTGAGCCGGGTGCCCCCTACTTCTACTGCAGCAGCTAATGAATGAGAATGCCACTGGGAACCCTCGCTTTGCAGGGAGCACACCAAAGGCAGGACAGCTGCCATGTGAGGGGCGAGCCACGGACACCTGTCACACTGCCTGGAATGCGGCTGGACAGCAAGTTTCCCAAGAGGAGATGACAGGTCACAATTCCCAAAGGCACACTTTCTGATCTCCCTAAAAAAAAGGCTTAGATTCATATATAATTTTTTCATTAAAAAATTCCATGTGGCCAGCTAGGAAGAAAAAGTCGAGTTTGCTGCATGGATATGAATACTGTGCTGGAGAAATCATAGTGCTGACATCACGCAGATAATGAGACCTGACCCGAGAATATTGTGGCTGCTGCTTTTCAGGATCTGAGGTAAAAAGTGGTCTATTTGGTTCTTAATACAAGCAAAACAAAACAAAAAAACACATACACAAAACCCAAACAAACAGGATGAGTGTTATCTAGAATAGTAACCTCTAATGTTCTATCCAAAATGTACTTTGCACGTGTACATTCTCTGTCTTCAAGCCCATTTGGGGGCAAGGTGGTGGCAAACTGCACAGCCCTTGATTTTCAAGGACTGACTCAAAAATCAGAACCATGCAACAAAAAACAATCTATTACTGACTTTCTGCAGGCTGTGCTCATGGAATGGGCCTGCACTGTTTTTGGATGTGAGAGCCAACTTAATTCTGCAATGACAGAGTTAAGTAAGACTGCCCATCAAAAAAATATGTTCTTTTGTAACCCCAGCACTTTGGGAGGCCAAGACGGACGGATCACGAGGTCAGGAGATCAAGATCATCCTGGCTAACACGGTGAAACCCCGTCTCTACTAAAAATACAAAAAAATTAGCTGGGTGTGGTGGCGGGCATCTGTAGTCCCAGCTACTCGGGAGACTGAGGCAGGAGAATGGCATGAACCCGGGAGGCGGAGCTTGCAGTGAG